ACCCACTGTAATTGCCTGCAGGCAATTTTTTTTCATTAGCAAGGAAGTTGTACAGCTACTTCAGATGTTAAAATCAGTGAAAAAAGGCAAAATTACTTTCTAAACTAATAAGGCACAATACAAAAAACACTGATGTCAACCAAGGCAACTCAAACAAGTTCATGTAACTGATGAAATTTGTTGATAGTAAATCAGATGCTGAACTCTCCAATAAGCAAACAGAATTCGGCCTTCTACTACCACCACCAGTAAGCAGATGCTCAACATTTTTCACAATGTATTTTACCTTCTTAATACAACAACTTGTAATCACTGTGTCTAAAGTTCATTAATATATCATAAGGAATCGCAGAGGTTCCCAGAACGCATTGATGACAACTTCCTTCTCCAAGTGATAGTGGAGCCAATGAGGAGAGGTGCTATAATGGACCTTGTTCTCACCAACACAGAAGGGCTGGTGGAGCATGTGAAACCCAAGGGCAGCCTTGGCTGCAGTGACCATCAAACGATGGGAGTTCCAAGATCCTTAAGACAGCAAGGGGGTGCACAGCATGTTCACTGCCCTAGAATTCAGAAGAGCAGACTCTGGCCTCTCAAGGGATCTGTCTGGCAAAGTAGTATGGGATAAAGCCCTGAAGGGAAGAGGGGGCCAAGACAGCTGGTTGTTATCCAAGGATCACCTTCTCCAAGCTCAGGAGCCATGCATCCTGCCGAAGAGAAGTTGGATAAGAACACCAGAAAGCCTGTATGGATGATCAAGGAGCTCCTGGATAAGCTCAAGCATAAAAAGGAAGCCTACAGAGGGTGGAAAAAATGACAAGTAGCCTGGGAGGAATACAGAAACAGTTCAGGTAGCGCCAAGGATCAGGTTAAGAAGGCTAAAGCCCAAATAGAATTAAATATGGCCAGTGACATCAAGGGCAACAAAATAAGCTACTGTTCATATGTCAGTGATAAAAGGAAGACTAGGAAAAATGTGGGCCCTCTCCAGAAGTACGTGGGAGACATGGTTACCTGGGATATGGAGATGGCTGAGGTATTCAATGACTTTTTTGCTTCAGTCTTCATCATCAAGCACTCCAGCCACACCACCCAAGACACAGAAGGCAAAGGAGGGGACTGGGAGAATGAAGAACCACCCACTGTAGGAGAAGGTCTGGTTCAGGACCATCTAAGTAACCTGAAAGTGCACAAGTCCATGGGACCTGATGAGATGCATCTGTGGGTCCTGAGAGAACTGGTCAATGAAGTGGCTAAGCTACTATCTATCACATTTGGGAAGTTGTGTCAGTCTGGTGAAGACCCTGCTGGCTGGAAAAGGGGTAACACAGCCCCCATATTTAAAAGGGGAAAAAAGGGAAGACCCAGGGAACTACAGGCCAGCCAGTCTCACTTCTGTGCCCAGCAAGATCATGGAGCAGATCCTCCTGGAAACTATGCTAATGCACATGGAAAACAAGGTGATTGGTGACAGCCAACATCATGGCTTCATGAAGGGAAAACCATGACTGACAAATTTGATGGCCTTCTATGACAAGGTTACAGTGCTGGTGGCTAAGGGAAGAGCAACTGACATCATCTACCTGGACTTGTGCAGTTTTTGACACTGTGCCACATGACATCCTCTTCTCTAAATCGGAGACACATGGATTTAATAGATGGACCACTCAGTGGATAAGGAATTGGCTGGATGATTGCAAAGATCTGCAGTCAAGAGCTTGACTTCCAAGTGGAGAGCACTGATGAGTGGCGTTCCTCAAGGGTCCATATTGGGAGCAGTGATGTTTCACATGTTTGTTGGAGACATGGACAATGGGACTGAGTGCACTCTCAGCAAGTTTGCTGATGACACCAAGCTGTGTGGTAGGGTTAACATGCTGGAGGGAAGGGATGCCATTCAGAAGGACCTGGACAGGCTTGAGACATGGGCCCATGCAAACATCATGAAGTTCAACAAGACCAAGTGCAAGGTCTTGCACATGGGTCAAGGCAATCCCAAGCACAGATACAGGCTGGGCAATGAGTAGATTGAGAGCAGCCCTGTGGAGGAGGACTTGGGGGTATTAGTGGATGGGAAACTTACCATGAGCCAGCAATGTGTGCTCTCAGCTCAGAAAGCCAGCCATGTCCTGGGCTGCATCAAGAGAAGTGATCCCAGGTTGAGGCAGGTAATTCTCCCCCTCTACTCTGCTCTCAATCCACCTGGGGTACTGTGTGCAGCTCTGTGGCCCCCAACATAAGAAGGACATGGACCTGCTCAAATGGGTCCAGAGTAGGGCCATGAAGATGACCAGGAGGCCAGAGCACCTCCCTTATGAGGACAGGCTGAGAGAGCTGAGGTTGTTCAGCCTGGAGAAGACTCCAGGGAGACCTTGTAGTAGTCTTCCAGTACTTAAAGGGAGCTTGCAGGAAAAGACTGGGGAGTGTAGCAACAGGACAAAGGTTAACGGTTTTAAACTGAAAGATGGCAGATTTAGATAGCTATAAGGAAGAAATTTTTTACTGTGAGGGTAGTGAGACACCAGAACACATTGCCCAGAGAGGTGGTAGACACTCCTTGAAAGTGTTCCAAGGCCAGGCTGGATGGGGCTTTGAACAACCTGGTCTAGTGGCAGGGGCAGGGTCAAGTGGCAGTGTCCATGGTAGGAGAGTTGAAACTAGATAATCTTGAAGGTCCCTTCCAACCCAAACAATTCTATAATCTAGATTATAACATAGTAAGGCTGGAAACGACTATCAAGTCTGATTTCTTTCTACACCCACAAATTTCACCCAACCCTTCAGTACTGAGTCCTGTATCTTGTTCCTATTATTCTTTACCATTCTGTCAATTTTTTCATTCATATCCACCTAACAGGGAATTGTTTATTCAAGGGCATTTCACACTGAATTCAGGGGAAAAAAAGATTTTTCTAACTAGTTTAGCTTAAATACATTTAAAGATTGATTTTTTTTTGAATCACTAGGTTTGGGGGTTCTGACTTGGAAGTGTTTAGTGCTAATGTTGTGACGGCTGGGAAGACTGCACTGGTGCCTGTCCCCAGCTGTCTGCCCTACCCATCTCCACAAGGTTCCCACCCAAGGAAGAGGGAAGGGCTCAGCTGCTCAAGTAGCAGCTGCCTAAACCACTGCAGATTACTGCCTGACTGCCAAGGTAATCTGACATAGGTGCCAGTTTAACTTATACTGGGCCACTAACTACAATGGTTCAGCAGCTGTTACATGGCTGTTTCTGAAATAAGGGCAAGGCTGACACACAGGGGCAAAAAATCTAGTACAGCTGTTCTAAGCTAAGACAGCTCAACTTACTAACTTCAGTCTTAAATGGACCATGTTCATGCAGTTACCTTTTCAAGAGAATACAGTGAGGGGGCTTTTGGCCATTCTTATTTTGACCATGCAATTTGCATTAGCCTCAATTGCTCTTTTGACTGAATCCTTTACTGTATTTTCCATTATTTTGTCTGAAACTTGTCTTCAGGTTAAATGGTTTATATGCAATCATCCTTCTGCTTGTTATTTTTCAACTCCAGTCTCCAGTGAAATATCAGCACTCTAAATTCTGTGTTTAAGACTTATTAAAAATTAGTGTCAGTGGGCCAGGGATTTGTCTTATGCATTTGAGTTTGGGGCAAGCCTTCCAGGATTGCTGATGTAAAGATGTTTATTGTTCACAGGCATTGTTTAATACTTTCCTATCCTACTCACTGCAAAATATTCCTTGGCCACAGATCATAAAAGCCCATTACCCTGATTCTTTCCAAACAGAGCAGAAAAACTGTATTTCTGCCATCTCCAGCATCACACTGAACAACTGTGTTATTTCCAACCAGTGATAAGCCTAAGCTTTATTAAAATGGCTTTTGTTGCCAGCATATTTAATCCTCCTATTCCTACCTGCATTTAAGAACAAACCCCCCAGATTTCTTGTCAGTAGCAGGTAGAAGGCAGGCTTCTTTGTTTGGGTTTTCCTCATTGGGGCTATGTGGGCAAAAAATATAACAAGGAGTCTGAAAGTGCTGTACAGGTTTGGGTGTGGTTAAAGAAAATTAAGAAAAAACTCAGTAAAGAATGAGAATTACCCATGAGTGGAACAGCGGATCTGGTACCTTCCATTCATGTTCTCATTCATTCTGCTTTAGCATGCTCAGGTCAGAGTGTTTCAGGAAGTAGAAAACGGCCATCATAAAAAACTGCTCTTCATCAGCTTGTTTTAGCAACAAGGGCTTTCATATCAGAAAGTGAATTGCAAGTTACGTAACACTACTTCTTCTAATAAATATGAAAAAGCTGACATTGAAAAAAATTGTAATCTCTAGATTAGATATCCTTTAAATTCCTCTTTTTTTCAGCTGTGTAGAAAAAACCCCAATGGCCAGATGAAAAGCCATTACTATTATCAGTTATCCTAATACAATGTGTAAAAGGGTTAGTCCTTTTAAAAGGAGGCCACACAATTTTCTCTGAACCTCAGCGGCATCTAGAGGACATCCTTCTTAGTTTTTTTATTCATTTCTGCAAGAAGGTCACCTTTGCGGACAAGAGACTACAACACTGAAGTAATACTATACCTGACCTTCCTAAATCCTTCTACCTGGGGAGGGTAGAGAGGTCTTTTTTTCTTTTCTTCTTCCATAAATTAATTCATAACTTGGCAAAAGCTTTCAATTCATTGTTCTATTTTGGGATACTTCCTTAAGTTCAATAATTGGCCTGTACTCACCAACCATAAGCAGAAGTTCTTCCTAACCAAAACATAACTTGGCTGATGAAATAATGAATGACCCATGTTCTCTGCATTCCTTAAAGACCAGGAGGAGAAGGAAAGAGAAGATGATGGTCTGATAGTCTTGCATTACTCAAGTATGGTGGGAGTCAAGTGTGTGCGTGTGTGAGAAATAGAAATGAGTCCATGTTTAGAATTTTACTAAAGAATGCTAACAACCCAAAACCCAAAAACCCCTGAAATTAAGAAGTCATGCATTTCAGACTATGAACAGTCAAGTTTAGCTTTTATTACACTGCCAAGAAAAGAGCCCCACTTCTTCCTTTATAATTCTGGGTTGGGAAGTTCCTTAGCTAGTTAGTCATGCTGCATTCAGAATACGACTGTGTGAAAATACGAAACATGATTTGCATTTAAATACTATACTGAACACAAAGCAGTCCAGACATCATTTGAATCATAACTTATATCGGACCAGGGATGATTCACAAGCCTGAACACTCATTCTTCATGATCATCTTAGCTATTCATGGCTAATTATGTATGCCCTCACTGCATAGGACTTGGTCCTGTTTACTTTTATACTTCTCATAATCTTTCAAGGATTCAATTCTAGAAAGTTTAAGCTATTAAAAAGTCCAAGACAGGCCTTTGTTTTCCTATTTTAACTGAAAACACAAATTAAGCCCCAAACCATTAACATGAAATAAATCAGCTTCAATTAAAAAAGAAAAAAAAATTAATAAAGAAATATTTCCCCATATAGGGTGACCTATCAGGGTCATCTTCAGGGTTTTCTTCAGCACTTATAGGGAACAGAAGACCACTGTTTTACAGGGACTGTATCAGTGTCTGTTCACAAAGGTCCTGAAGAATTTTGGAAAAGCACCAGTGGAGACTTGGTCTTCACTGACAATAACTTATTGTCACAGCATATCATTAGTAGTATGGCCTATTTTAAATAGAATTTCATTACATTGATGAAAACATAATTAATCAAATTTCATCAACATTTTACGAACTGAACTAAGATATACTGAAATCCAACATAAGAATTTATAGACCAAAGGAACCAATTTTAGCATTTTCAACTTGCACTGTGTTATTCTATGCTGATGAGACATTAATAATGTACTATGACAACACAAATCAGAACATTTATCATAACCAATTATTTTGTACAAATATTTTGCCAAGTATCACGATAGCATTTGAGAGATAATGTTTAGTAAAGTCTGCATTCATAAATAATTTAAAGTATTATATTTAAAAGTGATCTTGTCTTCAAGCTGCCATTTTTAAGTGTGACTACAGCTTCTTACAGGAACTACTCATTACACAAAACAACACTGTTTCTTTTTAAGACATAAAAAGGTACAGGAAGAAGCATCACCATAATAATCATAATCATTACTGTGCTTTTGTCACCCTCTTTCCTTTCAGAAAAAAAGTAGTGAAAGCAGCTCTGCATCTATTGTATCTTCTAATATTTAAGCAACTCTAACAAAACATTCAAAACATTACAGGGAAAACATCTAGTATCACCAATTTACCTTTTGAAACGAGTTACTCCGAATGTTAAATCCTTAACCGATGCTTTAAAATTCAAGATCATCCAAAGCCTCTTTTATAGATAGACAGGAAATCTGTGATTCTAAAAATAATGGTATGTATAGAAAATGTCTGGAGGGAATGCTTACCATAAAGCAGAAATTTAAACTCAGTAAATTAGACTTGTTCTCATCAAACTTTTTTCGTGCATCATTATATTTAACAGAACTGAGAAAGAGAAAAAATATTTTACCAGTTACTTTGAGTCTCCTTAAAAATACAGAAGAGTCTGGTTCCAGGAAATTACTTTCAATACATATATTTACATGTATTTTCAAAGAACTGTAATTTCGAAAAGATAGATTTATGACTATTAACTGCTTTAGAAGTAACAGAAAAAATAAGTAAAGAGAGAGTAGAAAGAACGTTAAGGAGCCCTTTCCACAGAACAAACAGCAGGGGGAAAGTATTTAAAACCAGAAATTGATCTATATTTTATTATTCATGTATGCATAGTAATTTACTGAAAAGACTTCTATGCAAACTAAGAAGCTGTATGTTTCTTCCTACGCCTTTAAAAGGCATCTTTCATTGTACAACTATACAAATCAAGTCAAAACCGGGCTCCATGATCCCCTCAAGAAAATCCTATCAAATGAAAAATGCTCCTTACAGCCTAAATCCAGAGTCCTCCATGTAAGCCAACAGGAAGAATTTTAAATCTTGACCCAAACAACGAATAGCATGCAGTAATTTGGCAGCATATGTGTCTCCCAAAAATCGCTACACATTTTTGCAAAAGCAAGGAGCGTTCTGCTGGCAATGACCTAATTACTAGAATAAAAGCTGCGTATCTGACAAAGGGAAAGAAAGGATCCACGGCTTCATACATAATTTATTAAGATTTCCCACAGCATTCAGGTTAAGTCGCGGACCCAAGCACCTCTTTGTGATGTTAAATAAATTTGCAAGAAGTCAGCGGATCCCAGGGCGCGCTGAACGCGCAGCGCTCCCCCCAAAGCGCTCCTCGCCAGGCCCGCTCGGGACATTCCAGAACTGATCACTCTCCAAGGATAAGGTTGTAACAAAGTATTCATGAAGATCAAACCCCACAGAAAGCACACTTCTCAATATGAGACATCAGAAATTAGGCCATATTCCAGCTGCTTAAGTCTATAGTCTGTATTTTAACTTTAAAGAAAATCTATATAGATAACAGCTACTACGGAAATGTTTTTTAAAAAAATCCAGCTCTAATATAAGGGGCAGCTTTGTAGAAACTGCACAGTATCGAGTGTTTTTAATCCTCTGGCAGAAGTATTCAAGAATGTTTCTATGGGCAGTGCAGTCCATCTCAACAGACTAGTGTGTGATAAAATGCAAGTTTCTCAGCTAGAGAAAATGAATGCTTGTTCTTGTGCCACTTCACATAAATTACGAAGTTATATTTATATGAAGTGGATATCTGGGTAGACAGTCAATTAAAAACATATATCCTTACATGCCTAGGGGAATTTCATTCTTCTTGTACTAATTTCTTTAACTTGTATGAAAGAAGCTGGCTCATGACACCTCATGGTTGGGACCACATGAAACTAAAAGCCTGTGTATGCATATGAGCAATTGTACCACAAATACTTGCTGGAGCGAGTGCAGAGGAGGGCAACGAAGCTGGTGAAGGGCCTGGAGAATAAATCCTATGAGGAGCGATTGAAGGAGCTGGGACTGTTTAGTTTGAGCAGGAGAAGGCTGAGGGAAGACCTCATCACTCTCTACAACTACCTGAAAGGACATTGTAGACAGGTTGGTGCTGGTCTCTTCTCACAGGTGATTAGTGACAGAACAGAGGGAATGGCTTTAAACTGCAACAGGGGAGGTTCAGACTGGATATTAGGAAAACATTTTTCACAGCAAGAGTGGTCAGAGAGTGGAATAAGCTGCCCAGGGAGGTGGTGGAGTCACCATCCCTGGATGTGTTTAAGGGTCATTTAGATGAGATGTTGGGGGATATGGTGTAGAGGAGAATTTTGTAGAGTAGGGCTGATGGTTGGACTCGATCCCAGGGGTCTTTTCCAACCTGAATGATTCTATGATTTTAAGGCAATACTCCACTCTTGTGGAAGATGTTCTTTACCAAATAACCTTTCAACAAACATCTTCATGATTAAGAAGATGTATAACATTAAGTCACCTGCTACCTTCAGCACAGTACTTAACATCCTCTGACTTCATCAGTGTGGCTAACTATAGAGGTCCTGTCAGTTAAGCTGTTATGGCAAACCATTTTAAACAAAAGTTAAGTGGGCCAGTATTCAGCTATATGATTGAAGCTCTGATGAACAAAGCTTCTATTAATTATAGCAATAGCTGGCATGCCTCAGGTTTTTGATCCACACAATTTCATTTCACAGAGAACTGAGTTCCTACTCGCTCAGCTGTAACAAACTATCATATTACTCAAGTTTAAAGTTTAGAACCCAAGTAGGCATTAGACCTAAAGGCATCTTACTTTATATCTTACTGATACAAGCCACTGTTCCTACCCTCAGAAAAGCAAACAAAAATGCTCCCAGTTGTTACTGTGCAGCTCACGCCATACTAAATTTATTTACATTAGCATAAGTGTATACTCAATTATAGGCATAGCTCAACACCTATATTATCAGTGAGCAAGTTGCTGTAATATGAGTTGTGCCTTATATACCAGTTTGGTCCAGTGGTGGTTTAAATCATGTTTAGAGGTTTCAAATGCAACACAATTTGGAATCACTACTTTAGGTGTGCAAGACAATACCAGAGAATTGATGCCAAAGAAAATGCCAGAGAAACTGAAATCCTACATACTTCAAAGCTAAAGGGCATACTTTTAATTGAAAAACTAACTTGAGAAGTACAGTTAAATTTCTAGAATCCAAAATGAGAATATCAAAGATTGAAGGCTACATAATATATTCCATTCATTTATACACATCATACTGCATTATTTGCAACTCTGGCTCTATGAAAAGATTCTTGTTAGTCCTGCTACTGTTTAGTCCTTTCTGAGCTTGGTAGTCACAAGCTGTGTAAGTCTCAGTAAATTCAGTGGTGATGAGCAGTATTAGCTCCACTGCTCTATAGCCTGAAGTCCTGTATTTATTTGCAGAACAAGCAGAGTACATGCAGCACCACAAATTCTAATATATTCTGCCAAGATAACAGCTGAGTGGGAGGCAGAAAGCTTTCCCTTCCTTCTTCATAGTAATGTCCATTCTGTTACGATTTCATAAAAATGGTAGGTTATGTTTCGTGTCTGTCATATGTGCTTGCCTCTGAAGCAAAATCCAGTATTAAATGAAATTCAGTTTAATAAACAGCCATGTTATTAGTAATAAAATTATCTTTATCATACTGTATGTTCCAGTGGTGTTAAAACACTGATATAGAACCAAACAGGTGGATGGTATAGTGACACATACTCTTCCTTCAAAACTCCTTTCTGTTTGCAGTACTGGATTCTGCCAGTGGAACTGATACCAGTGAAACAGTATGAAAAAAAAAAAGGTCAGGTTCTCAGGAAAAAATAAAGCACAGAAAGGAATTGTATGGAGAAATGTCTTGTTTATTTCTCACTTAGTTATCTTCTATCTGGCAGAAGGAAAAAGATAGCTTTTTCATTATTTGAAAGATATCATTACCAAGACTGATCTAGCTACATATTACATAAAAAACCCCTTTTCAACTCTATTAAAAGAATGAAATCTCTGCATGTAAGCTATCAAATCCCAGGGACACAAAATTTCAGTATGGAAAAATATAAGCTCAGTTTCACTATTCCAAATACAGTTACTTCCCATTATTTTGGACAAGATCCCTGCAGTCTACCCAGCACAGCATTCTCAAAGAGCCAAATGGGAATTTGGCTCCAGAAAAAGAACTGGCAATCTTTTCACAGAATATTCGATGTAATCCATGCACTAACTATGTCCCAACTTCTTACTGCATTTATAAAAACTCAGTTTGAGACCAAATAAAATTGTCATAACCCTGTTTCTCCCCACTAATAAGTAGTGCTCTGAGCTGATTAAGTTCCACATTTTAAAAAACATAAAGGACATTCTGCAAAATATTTGCTTCATAAAATCAAGACTATTACAACAGAAGATGCAAGAGGTTTTCTGTTTTTAGATAACTAGCTCATAAACAGAACAGTCTCTGTGCCTTCTCAACCTCACCTGCTGCACCAATACAGTTTGCCTGAGCAGCTTTTCACTATTTAATATATTTAACATGATTGATATTTATTAGTCACTGTACATGCACAGAGACTCTGGGCAGTGAGAGGTTGGATAATGAGTTAAATTCTCTGTCTCTGTTGCCAGGCGCTACAGTTAGTACTACTCACAAATGTGAAACAGTGTTGTCAACTTAAAGACATCTTGACTTCAGAACTTCACTCACTGAGTTTTACACAGTGACTTACACCAGGCTGCATCTTTTAGAAAGGTGGTACAAACAGATTTTATTAACAAAATAGACTGAAAACATTTCACGTTTTACATAGATGCACATTTCATCTTAACACAGGAATTGATAAAATATTTTAGCAGCTGCTATAATCAAAAATTGTCTCCTGCCTTTCAACTTTATTTTAAAAATCCATGAGGCTGAACATGCTCTCTGCTTCTCATTTCCCTGGAAATTGTGAAGTTGCTTTCACCTCTCTCACTACCACACAAAGACTGTATTGTTTCATCTGAACCTTGCCCTTACCATGTGACTAGGATCAATTATAATTTGTATATAAACACACACTGGGAATACTGATAACCTGCTCTCAGCATTAATACCAGTGTTTTGACCATGAAAATCTGTATTCCTACTTTGTCCATCAGGTTTTTCTCAGAAGTGTTCCATATTATTTACCTGGATGACGTCTAACTATGAGCATTAGAAAGATCATGAGAAAAAGAGGTTTCCTGAGGATCAAGAAACTAAAGGACCACCTTTCTCATGCAGATAAAGAATGGAGAGAACTCTGTTACTGTTACTAATGCATCATTCAGAACACATGCACTCAACTCTTCTGATACCGGTTCTACAAAAATAAACAGAATATTCCTGCACTGAGAGCAGAGAATCGGAAATCAAGTTTTCTTTTAAGATTTTCTGTTATACTAATGTCCTAAAATGTCACCTTTTTCTTCCCAGAATGTTGT